TGGCGCACTAATAGGTAATCAAAGGATATAATTGAGATTGAATTACTTTTGGAATGAGAATTGGATCCTAAAGTGTGGTTTTGTATCAGTGCTAGCTGAGGACTCGGATTAAGGGGCTTTAAGGAAGTGGAAGCCGGAATAGTGCAACGCTAGCCAGGTTTGATATTTGAGATGTAGGATTCCTTACCCCTTTCTTTGTGAGCCTATTTTCAAAGAGTTTTGGCCTTACAAAAGTTTTAAAGAAAGGGCATGTTTGCGAAAGTATAACATGTTTAAAAACAATAGCTTGATTTTAGCTATTGGAATTATAATGAACTGTTTCATAAAGTTTAATTAGTGATTTCTTAAGACAATAGATCTTGTGAATCGGTAAACCGGTTGATGGCCTAGATAGGATATGGAGAGTGCATCATTGGGGGCAGAACCCGAAACCCGGCCCAGGGGTGATTAGGCTTGTGCACATGGTTGTGTAAGTAATTTATCATAGTATAAATTACTTGATGATGCCTGTAATACAGAGATTTTCGGTTATATTCCTTTCAGAAAAAGGATGCGAGGTTCCGGCTGTTGTGTTGGAACTAAATGTCTTATTTATTCATTTATTTACTTGCTTACCCATTTATTTATTTATTTATTATTTATAAAGTTATTTCAAAATATATCCTACTGGGTCTTTCGCTTGCGTTTCATTATTTTATAAATATTAACCCCTCTCAGGCGACTCTAGAAGCAGTGCGGAGTAGCTGAGTAGTTGCTACCGTCCGGTTAAGAGAGGATTGTATTCATCCTCCTAGTGTACGAATGTAAGAATTTATAAATTCTGTAAACTCTGATATTTGGATTTCTAGACTGTGGTTGGTATCCGTAATGTTATTTACATGTTCATGTATGTACAATACTAAAGATCCTATGGGTAGATCATGTGGGCAAAGCCCTGAACGATGTGAGAGGTGGGAGTTTTAACCTCTTGAGATGTTCTTGTAATTTATTTTTGGTAAAATAGTGGGGCTCGTTTGGAGATTTCTTTAATATTTCGCTGTTGGTTTTAATTATTAAATGTTTAACTTCTAATCGAGCCTCCACGTCACCAACCCCGGCTTCGGGGCATGACATCACCCTACTGCCGGAGGAAGTCATCTGCGCGAACGCAGGAGAGTTTGGCGGTTTGGGTTTAGTCATATCTAGTTTGAATTCGCATCACCAGGTGTCAGAGAATGAGGGGCCATTCGCGCTAACGTGGAGAGATTGCATAGTGGGACGAAGATCGCACCGCCGTAGGTGACTCGTGCAGCCAGGGTTCGAGGGTGAAGTTCGTCGTTGGGGTGGGGGGTGAGGTTCATCGTCGTCGGCGGTGAAGCTTTTGGTAGGGTGGCCGGTGGCTATAGAGAAGCTCAAAGATTAATTTTGGTTTGGAAATGTTTTAAAATTAAAGGCTAGGATTAAAAGTTTAATCCGATTAATGGTTGAGATTTATTCTAGTACAAAATTGATTTTTTTTTAAATGAAAGAAAAATGTGATCAAGTGTATGAGGTCGTATTATAATTCAGTATATCATTTTATTTTGAGCCATTTAAAAGTAATCCAACAGTTGATAATTTTGTACCGTATCAACAGAAAAAAAAAATGAGTATCCCTACCATAGACACTCCTTTTATGTTTTGATTGTGCAAAAATTATTCTTTCCCCTTGATAACATTTTTTTTTCAATTTCAACTGGTTAAAACATTAGTATTGATGAAAAAAAGTTTGAAAAATAAATTAAGAATGGATTATTCTCATTAGTGTCTCTAAATTTTGAGGTCATTTTTAGTTTGCTATCTAAACTTTAAAAATTCTCACTTTTCCCTTTAAACTGAGAATTTTAGTTTGATAAAGTGAGAGTTTTTAAAGTTTAAAGGACAAGCTGAGAATGCCCTTAAAATTCACGGGGCATCAATGATAATAGTCCATTAAGAATAGTTCCACTTCCGTTTTTATTCTCTCTCATAGAAGGCTATAAGCACATGGCATGTGAATTGTGATAGAACGCCAAGCAGTACTAAAACAGGCCTCAATATTACAAGACATGAACTGGGCCACAAATACCAGATCACTAATTATCATGGACATTCGAAACTTCTTTTTTCTATGGAGAATTTTCAGAGATGTCATCAATAAAATAACAGTATTTTATTTCTACCAATGTTGTTAAATTCATCTTATGTCATTAATAACTTGCAAGTTATCTCCTCATAGTCTAAAGGTTATCTGTCGTAACCTGTAGGTTATCACTTTGTATCATGCAGTTTATTTTCCGTAGTGGCATCAAAATTTTGTAAAGTGGTATAATAGAGTTGGAAAAAACAATGGTTAAACTTAAAAATTTCTCTTTTTCTATGTAGAAAGTTGATGATATGCCATGATAAAAATCCAATCTCTTTCATTGTTATAATTTTTTTTTTGGTCAATTATACAATAAGAAATGCTAGTAGCATCACTATTTCTGTCACTTTTTGTATTCAAATTTTGACACGTGTACTTCACTATTTTATGTTCTGTTTATATAATAATATATTATGTTAGTGGAGTGCATGTGTAAGACAATGGTGGCATGATAATGACAATGTCCTCCCTAGCTCGTATCTCGTGCTAGTCGAGAGCCAGGCCAACCAGTTCGGCAACTATTCTTCCCTTAGATTTGGCTCTAACATAAATGGCCGTCCTTCGACTGAAATGGTTATGCTATTCTCCGAACACAATTACAAGCACTAGCTTATTGTCATGGACAAACACAGTGGGGAGAACACCACCAAGCAGTAATAAATTCCTGGGGTTAGGGTCACTGTTAGAGATTTAGGTCTTGTTCATTTTACCGATCCGAGTTTTTAATTTTAAGTTTCTAAAGTTAAAAGCTCTCAGCAAATGTCACATTTAACTTTTTCTGTTACAATTAAAAACTCTTAAAAACGTCACATCTCAGTTCGAATTGAAAACTCGAGTCCGTAAAGCAAACGAGATAGGTATGGTTGTATTCAAAAAGCAAGTGAGTGGCTCCCTGCGGGGGCCACGAACGATTAAAACAAACATGTCAGGGGGTTCAGGGGGATGTGCCCCCTGAAACTTAATTGGAAATAAAAAGCGAATAAAACAAGCGAGTGAAGTGCTTCACGGATGTGAAGCACAGAACGAATAAAAACAGGCAAGGGGAAGGGGATGGGTTTAGGGGAGGGGAAGGGTCCCCTCCCTAGGCGTCCCGCCATTCCGAAGGAATGGAATAAAGGGACGACGTAACGTTTCCCTTCGTCCCGTCATTCCGAAGGAATGAAGTAACGAGACAACCTTATCCTCTTCCTCGGCCCGCCATTCCGAAGGAATGGAGTAAGGGCTGACCTTACCATCCTCCCTCGTCCTACCATTCCAAAGGAATGGAATAAAGGGACGACACTCCTTGTATTAACGGCCCACATAGAAATGAATTTGTGATTTTTTGATAATTTTTATTTTTAATTTTTCATTAATTTAAATGGGTAGAAAGGACACTATACTATACAAAAGCAAAATGTATCAAAGAAATAATGAAAAGTGGTAAAATTAATAAGTTTTTTTTTATAAAAATGTTGCACACAGCCTAATTGACTCTCTTAGTCAGCACGTGCGTCAAAGTAAAGATGGGACGTTTGGTTCATGGATTCAGAATCATGATTCAGAACTATTCTCGTTTTGCGTGTATTTTTTGTGAGAAAAAATATTGTAGCGAGTCACGAACCATGATTTGAATCATGGCACGAATCTCCCTTCCAAATGTCCCCGTGGTTTAGCAAAAAAAAAAAAAGTAAAGATTAGTGTTACTGGTAAATTTTGTTATGCTATAATCAAAGAAAATAAAAGAAAAAGATTTTCATCAAGTTAGGTAAAAAAAAAAAAGCCAAAAAAATCAAAGAAAAGAAAAGTCTTTTGAAAATGAATCCTATTATTAATTTATTATCACTCATTATAAGACTTAATCCCATTAGTTATAAAAAAGATTTTATATTACATGTTAGTTCGGCTACTCAAGATAAACACGCGAGAATTAACCGTGCTCAAAAAAAGAAAAAATTGCAAAAAAAAAAAAAAAAACTAAGAAAAAAATATTTAAAATATTATGATCGGTTTTCTTAACAAAAAAGAAACAACAATAAATTTAAAAAAGTTTGTAGGTTAGATTTTTACTTTTCATGGTATCAGAGCTAAGTTGGTATTATTGAGAATCGAACCTATAATCTTCAACTTATTCTAATATCATGACAAATAATAATCTAACTCAAGAAACTCAACGATGAGAGTTAATATTTATTATTTATATTGCAATATGTTTTAAAAAACATTTTAATAAAGTTAATAGTCTCAAATAATTCCATTTGTAAGAGCTTATTTCCCTTGATAAAGTTATTTTGAGTCCCAATCAGTTAAATTATTGAATTTGATTAAAATTATATCAGATTAAAAAAATATATATAAATATAATCTTTTATACAAATATGACGACTAAAAATTAAAATTTTTTGGTAATTTATTTTTTCAGGACTTGCTAAAAAAACTCTCGAAAAATTATTGAGAAAAACTTCGTGTGAAGTTTTCATTATATGAATTTTGCCTACCACTTGTCTAGTGGCACCGGAGATTTGGAGGGATGAGAGTTGGGGATTGCGGGTTTTCGATCCTGTATCAAATAAATATATATACAAGATCAAAATATAAATATATATATATATATATATGGTATATATGAATTTTTAGGAGCCAAGGTTGTTTGGTTGCTATATTCATACTATGATTCGAATCATAATTCATAATTTATTATAATATTTTCTCTTATAAAAAATACACATAAATTAAAAATAATTCTGAATCATAATTTTAAATCCATCAATCAACGTCTACAATCCACAAAATACATGTATTAGAACGCATCTTTTCTTTTTCTTTTTTGTTTTTTTGGGACAACTCAATTTGTTATCATCCGAAAAACGACAACGTTTTGCATCAGCAACGGGCGTACGAGGAACCAAGCAGCCGGGCTTTACTATCTCTCACGGTCGCTGAGAGACTCATCAGATTCTCGCCTCCGCATTCCTCTCGTCCTCCACAAGGAAAACCCTAATCCTCCATTTCCCAAACCTTACCCAAATTCAACAAGAGGAAATTCTGAGCTCCGATCATGGCGTTCTCTCTCCGCCTCTTATCCAAATCCAAGCAGGTCAGTCATTCATCCATGGATTCCTCTCAATCTCTCTCCCGATCATCGCTTTCTTCTTCGTTTGTTTGCCGTTCTTGTCCCTCTTTGGATTCCCAATCTGGTCCCTTTTTTTAATCTTTCGATTCCGTTGCTATCTACAATTTTCGGATTGGAGATGATCGGATTTTAATTTCCGTTTTGCTTTCTGCTTTTTTTTTATAATTGAATGGATGATGATTTTGGGGATAAGGTTTTTGATTTTGTGTATTCATTTGAATTTGAAAGATGTGCTGAGAAATCAGAGATAATGTAGAAACTACATTGTACAGGGAATTCATGCTACTAAAGAATTTGAATTATTTGATTCGTCTTGTTTTGAGATAGAGATGTGTAAGAAGAGAACCCAGTATTTCCCTCTGAATGTTATTAAATTGAAATGGAAAAGAAGAAAAGAAATTTGGAAGATGGTAATTGCAGTTATGCCAAGGAAGTTGTATTGCTTCAGGAGTTGAATGTGTTGGAAAATATTTATATTTTCTATTTGGTTCTTTCCCTTTTTTTTTTTTTTTTAAACGATGACTTGTCGTATTGGTTGTTCATTTCCTTCTAATGTTGCAGTTGAATGTCAGTCGAGCCATTCTACGGCAGGAGCATGCTGTTCCAGTTCGTTACTTTGCCAAAGAAGCTGGTCGCCCTACTGTTCTTAAGGGAGATGGTGAGTTTAAACTGGACATTAAAAAAAATAATAATAAAAAAAAACCTTTGATGCACATATTGTGATTTGTACTGGTCAAGTTTCAATTCAAAATGGTCAGGTTTCAATTCAAAATGGGCTAACTTCTACCTTTGCGCGTGTCCCTTGTTACAACTTACTTTTCACCATTCATCTTACCACATTTTCAGGCTAACTGGAAGATTATTGTCCTAACAAGTTGATTTCACATCTGATTTCATGGGTGATAATTGATTGATTGCAAACATTGTATTTATAACTATATGATGATTTTCATTTTCTATCAAACTATTAATTCTAAATGACATCCGTCTTTTATTATTACTTTTTTTCCTTTTAACCAATTGCTGACAATGTACATATTTTGGTGGCTAAAGAGATGTTGAAGAACATCTTTTTGGAAGTTAAGAAGAAATTTGAGACAGCCATGGATGTACTTCGGAAAGAAAAGATCACCATTGATCCGGAAGATCAAGCTGCAGTGGCTGAATATGCTAAGGTCATGAAGACAGTGCGGGAGAAGTGAGTGTTATTTACTTATTCATTTGCATCTAATAGAAAGTAGGTTTTATATTTGTGTGCTTGTGCTGTGTTTCTATCTAGAGGTGCAAACATACTTTAAATCATTTGTTAGACGAGTTTATAACAATATGTAATTTAAGGTACCGTTTTCTTTAAAAACACGTTTTTAAGGTTTCAATGCACTTAAAGGAGAAAAAGTTGTAATTAGTAGCATCCTAATAAAGTGGTAAAAACTAAAAAGGATACAAGTAAGGGTAAACAACAAATAGTAAAAGCAATTTGACAAACTTGGGAAAGCTTGTCTCATATAGAAGTATATGCTTTCCTTAGTTCTTGTTCTTCCTGTTCTTTTTTCTTGTATCCGAAAACTGGTGTCACTAATCAGTGTTGGTCATTATGAAACTTATAGTACTTAAAGAGCATGTTGGTTTAGCTAGAATCAGTTAACCATAAAATAACGAGTGAGATTGACGATATATATTTCTCCCTTCGTTACTCTGAATGTGCATAAAGTTCTGCTAATATAAAAAATTTGCAATTCACATTATTAGACAATAGAGGTCGTTGTTTTATTTCTCTTTTTAGCTTTTTAGCTTCTGTTATTTCAATTATACTTTTGAAGAGGAGGTGGTTGCTTATGTGTTGATTTTATTTTTGATATTCTTATTGTACAATTGTTTATTGTGTTGCATTGATCTCTAATGCATCCTCCTTTCTTCAGGGCAGACTTGTTCTCAGAGTCTCAACGAATCCAATATACCATTCAGACCCGTACAAAGGATATCCCAGATGCCCGTACATATCTGTTGACCTTGAAGGAAATAAGGATCAAGTATGTTTCATTCATCTAGTCAACTCGTTAGTTTACGTCTATTAGATGCTGTGATTGATGTGGACGAGGGATTTTTCTTTTGTTTCCTTCTCCCCGAAACCCCAATTTTGAGGAATAGATTGCTCTGGTTGTTGCATTATTCATATGCATACAGAAACCACTTTTCTTATCTATCTCGCATGGTTAATGGTAATCCGTAGGAATGGCCATACAAGCATGCGTGTTTATGTGGTTTTGCTTCATAGTATGATATATATTTTTGTCATTTACTTAACAGCATAACCTATTGAAATTCAAATGATTTATACATACATATATATAGATAGATATATGTAGTATATATGTATGTTTACATTTATATTTATATGCTTATTTCCTGTCTTTTTTCAAACTCTTTTGCAGGCGAGGTCTCACTGATGAACTTGGTGCAGAGGCTTTGATGTTTGACGCCTTGGAGAAAGTTGAGAAAGAACTGAAAAAGCCTCTTTTGAGGGATGACAAGAAAGGAATGGCTCTTCTTTTGGCAGAGTTTGATAAGATCAACAAGAAGTATGTGTTAAGCCTATATTTTCCCTAATCTGTGAAATTTCACAAGTCTAATCCTTAAATTTTCCTGAATTTTGTGTCAGCGTTCTCTCTCTGTTTCTGATCTTTTTATACAGAATCATACAACAAAAAACTCAAAGTATTGCTTGTACGCAGCAATAGTCCAATAAAGTATCTTAACATGTAAAAGAGAGACTGCTTACTGGTATATATTTCGTATTCTAATAACTAAAATCAGGATTTTATCAGCTCTATGAACCATGGCTGCGGATGACTAACATTTATTAGGATTGAAGTGAGATACAATACTTTTGGCTTTGTCTTATCAAAAAAGCGTACTTCTGAATTCATCTGTCTTGTCAAAATAGGCTTGGAATTCGTAAAGAAGATCTTCCAAAATATGAAGAGCAGCTAGAACTCAAAATTTCCAAAGCACAATTGGAGGAGTTGAAGAAAGATGCTCTTGAGGCAATGGAAACTCAAAAGAAACGGTATTTTTGGTCCCCGTCCGTTACTTTTCTTAATGTATTCAGTATGTTCTTAGATCTAGAGGTTCAATTCGACATGCTGTCTAGACCGGTAAATGTCGAGAGAAACATGTTTTTCCTGCTGCTACTAATGCCATGTCATTTGATCATTACGAGAAAGTTCGAGTCCAGTTTAAAACTGCGCCCCCCTTTTGTATATCATTCCTATTCACAACTACTAGGAGGTGTTCGTCTTAAAATAGATTGTTAGCCGTGCAGGTGCAATGTTAGACATTGCTTAAAACCGCACATTATGATCAAAGATTGCTTTGCCCAAGTTTAGTTTCGGCAATGACATTTTGACCATAACTAATACTATGAAACTCATGTTATCATTTGCAGGGAGGAATTCAAGGATGAGGAGATGGTTGATCCAAAGTCTTTGGACATCAGAAACTTTGTCTAATCTATGCCCGTTTTCTTAGTGATTGAATCCTTCGAAGTCAAAGATATGCTTTGTGCAAAATTGAGGCCACTGACTATCTTAGAGTATGAGGAGTGCCTCATTCTGTTTTAATAAAGGCACCTTAAGATTTGAGAGTGCGGCAACTATGGCAGATTTTCGAGATAATCTGATGTTTTGCTTTTTCTCTGATTTATTGTTTTATGTTACCGGGAGAGAACTGGAAATCTGGTGTCACTGGTTGCATTTATGTAGTTACTTTGTTTTTTCCAATCCCTTTTGGTTTATAGTATTTACTGCTATGTGCAATTCTTCTTCAACTGGGGAAGTCATTTTTCTTTTGGAAGCCAACCAGGAATTTCTGCACCTACTTTGTTTTCTGGATATTAAAACAAAATGAAACATATTCACTCATCATTATTTGGAAATGGTGGGAATGTGATTCAAACCCCTTTCGGCCCTTTTGGCCTGTTTGGTTTACAGGCTTGAACAAAAATTTAAATGGGAAATAGTAGAAAATAGGCCAATATGAAAAGCTTAAGAAAGTATATAGGTCAATTTTTAGTTATAAAAATTAATAGATCATAACTTGTTAAGTTATGGTTCATAACAAGATAAGTTATAAACAAACTTGTCAAGTTATGGTTTATAGCCATACAAGTTATGAACAATTATGAATAATAACTTGTTAAGTTATGGTTCATAACCAGACAAGTTATGGATGAAAATAATAATTTGACCTATTTATTAATTTATATAAATTATTAACCTATTAATTTTAATTCATATTAAGTCTTTGTTTATTTTCTTCTTTCTCTCAATTTAAATTTTATAAGAGAAAATATTGTAACAAAAAAATTAGAACAGCAGTTCGAACCTATGATGGTTTGTGATTTGATTTTGCTGCCAGTTTGGAATTATGGCTTTTTTGGGCTGCTTTGAAAATAATTATATTTTGTATTTTGGTTATGAAGGCTTGGGGTTTAGGAAAATCGAGTGAGCTTCTTTTGCTCACAGAATCTTCCAAAAAGAAAAATGGTCTGTGAATTGAAGTTCAATGATTCAATGAATTGTCACAAGCTCTCTCTCTCTCTCTCTCTCTCTCTCTCTCTCTCTCTCTTAATCTCCTCCCAATTGAGCTGCTGCTCCTCCAGGCTGTTGGTGATCATGGTAACTGCTCGAATCCTGGGAGAGAAAGATTGATGATAAGTTAAAGGGTAAAAACAAATAAAGAAAATTATATTTAAGAGTTGACGTTTTCTTTCAAAAAAATCTGAACAAATTGGTCGCCAATTATCTACTATTATCTCTTGCAAATTGTAGAGCATTTTGCACATATTTATAATTTGTAAAATTTCAAGTTTTCATGCAATGACTACCCCTGTTAAAATTCATAAATCTTTTTCGACAATTTCAATATTAAGGACCACAATTGCCCCAAAAAAAAAGTTTAAGAGTAATTTATCAAAATTAAACATTTAAAGACCGAATTTGATAAGATCCCATCTGATGTTATCTCTTAGTGGGTGGCTGTAGTGTAGGCGGTACTTTTGTTTAGTTTAATGTTAATCTATCATCGTTTTCAAAATAAAAAATAAAAAATAAAAAATAATGTCACAATGCTCATAGTTGATAGTTCAATGTGACACCTTATGTACTAATATTTTGATGAATCATTTCAGCCAATGAAGTTCATTTAGAAGAAAAAAATGTGAATTAAGCAGTAGTAGTTTGATGAATAATTTCAGTTAAATTAGTTTATTAAGTTTGAGAAAATCAATGTGACACCCTAGTCATGGCTGACAAATAAGTCAAAAGCCATCAACAATCTCCATGAATTCCATATCGACAAGATTCTAGGCTTCTTTACCCCC